CTTTGTCTCGTAAAGGTATTCCTTATAATAACTCTTATAGTTACCTAAGGCAGCAGAAAAAGCTCTCTATTATATAGAGGTTAGCTCGGAGAAGAGGGAAGCTCCCTCTATAAATTCCGTTGCCCTAGGACGAAGAGGGGGCTCGAGAGGGTCCTGCTTATTAAAGAAGACTAAATTATAGATAGTCCTATTTATACGAGCCCGTAGCTCCTTTACCTATTTATCCTAATCTTAGGGCTCTATAAGAATCGTCTTATAGACCGTAGGGATAGTAAAGGAGTCGGTTTTCGTTATTATTGCGGGGAAGGGTAGAAAAGTTAGGTAAAAATCGGCTTTTCTAGTAAGAGGGGTAAAAGGAAGCTACGAGGGATATAAGAAAGGTGCCTTTTATAGCAGCCGGAAGGTATAAGAATTCTATTCCTCCCGGGCTTATAACTCTCGCGAAGAGAGATACGAGAAGTGCATAAAAATACATAAAGGTAAAATTAAAAGTAAGGGGTCGGATAGGCAGGGCAGAGAGATTTAATTCTTACGGGGGCAGTTATTGCGGCAGGGGAATAAGTATTATATTGCCTTAATTGTCCTTCTTTCCTCTATCTAACGCCTCTCTTTATACCCGTCTAGCATCTTAATTAATAAAGAAGATCCTACTTAAAGAAGCTACTAATGTCCTTTTAACTACCGAGCTTTTTGCCGGTTTTTCCCCTCCTTTCTAGCCGTTGCCGGCATATCCGTCTTATCTTTCGCTACCTCTATAGGAAGCTATCGCTACTTTTACTTCCCCTCTTACCCCTACCCTCCTCTCTATACCTCTTTTTAGCTCCTTCTTTATAACCTGTTTTTTAGCTTCCTAGGTCCCTCGTACTAAGAGATATCTCTAAGAACTGCGAAATTAAGCTACGCTTCGCGATATATTTTCCTCTTTTAAAGGCATTTTTATATCCTTATTATATCTTTTTAGTATTTCTAAAATAGCCCTACTATTTATATACTATAGGAATAAGTGCTAGGTATAGAAATCTATATCCTTTGCCTTTAAAGATATAATAAGGATCGATTATCTTTTAAATAAAGGTTCTATAAGAATATAATATAATTTATTTCTAAGAAATCCTTTAGTAAGGACCTTATCCTTATTATCTAATAAAAGGACTTTATTTCCTCCTACTAAGGCATAGGTATTATTAAAATAAGATTAGGATAGTATATTTACCCTTAATTTAAGGATATAAAAGCAGTCTTTAAAGATATACTTTTTTCTACTATATAGGAACTTAAATACTAAGTCCCCCTTTCCTTTTACTAATATAAAGGAAGTATTTCCCTAGTATACTTTAAACTTAATCTCCTTATAATTAATAAGGAAATTCTTATTCGATACTATATACTTAGTAGCTCTAGTATCGTATATAAAATTAAAGATCCTTTTATTCTTATAACTAAGAAATCCTCCTTCTCTTACCTTTATTACTAGTTCTTTTATTCTAAGAATTAAGGCCTTTAAAGGTCCTAAAAGAAAGTCTTTATTAGCTTTTACTATAGGGGTAATTATAGAGGTTAAAATTACCTCTAAATCCTTAGACGTATATATAGGGGTCGGAGCCCTAGATAGATCTATAAGGTCGATATTAAGGTCTATATTTTCTTCTTATAGGGCTATATTTAAGACCTTATCGGTTTCTTCCTTTAAATCCTATTTAGAAGTATAATTATTCTTTCTTTTATTAGTAGTAGAGTTACTACTAAAAGAAGAAGAAGAAGAAGATTTTCTCTTCTTAGAAATTCGGTTTCTATCGTTCCTTTTTCCTTTATTTAAGACCTAGTAAGAAGGAGCCTTATCGGGATATAATTTAAAGTAATTTACTATAAAATGCCCTGGTTTTTTATATTCCTTATAATAAGAAGTCTCTATGCAATTTCTATAGGATTTCTAGGGCTTCCTTCTTAAAAGGAAATATTTTTAGGAAGTCTCGTTTATATCCTTTATTCTTCTAGCTTTATCTAAAAGACTAGCTATAAGGGATTCGAGGGTAAAGGCTATAAAATTATACCGTAGGTTCTATATAATATTTATAATATAGCTCCGAAATTCCCTATTAAGGCAATTAAGGATCTATACTATAAGAATAACTTCCGGAATTTCTATATTACGGGATTTTAAATCCTTATAAACTTCCTTTACCTTATATAGGTATTTCTCTAACTTAGAGTCTAAGGGACTTAGGTTAAAGAGTTACTTTATAAGTAGATAATTCAACGAAAAGTTTAACGGATTATATAGCTTTATAAGCTTATCCTAAGTAGCTTTAGTATTTATTAGATGCTTAATTTATATTAAAGGGCTATCTTCGACTTAAAAAAGAATCTAGGATAAAGCTTTTATAGTCTTTATATAATTTTCTTACTTTAAGGTAGTAATAAGCTTTTCCTTTATAAGGATAGCTCTTATCCTTATAGTTTAAAGAGTATAATTTAAATTTCCCTTAAGTCTAAAGAATTTATATTCTTTTTATTATCCTATTATATATAGATTCGGTATTATTGCGTTCGTAGGGATCGAGTAATTTAGTCGGGAGTATAAGAGCGTAGGAAGGTAGAAGAAATCGGGGGGAAATCCGATAGGAATTTTAGTTAGGTTTTTCGTCGAGGGATTTTAAAGGTTCCCGTGCATAGTTAATTTCCCGGCTTAAAAGGAGTAAGACGGGCTTATAACCTCTTAAGGTATATAAGCAATAGCGGAATTTTAGGAAATCAAGGAATCACGTAATACTACGTAATAGAGAGAAAGAAGGAGCATAAAGTAGGATTTTCAGTGAAATTTATTAGTAGTATATTAGTGTGTAGAAGAGGTGTTAAAGTTAATAATTCTCTATCTATCTATCGGCGGACGTCTAGTCTTTTATAGACAATTGCAGCTGAACGAAGGTACCTATTAGGACCGGACTTTAGCTTCCGGGAAGTCCTCTATCTAACGGATTTAGTAATGTTTTTTATATAAGCGTAGGTGTCTTAGTTCTTATATTATTTATATTTAAAGGAGGCTTGTTATATCGAGGATCTTAGTATATTTTAAGCTTATTCTACGCTAAGTATTATTTCTTCGATTCTAGATTAAGCAATAACTAGTAACATGTTTAATATATAATAATATAAAGGGTAACGAGCTTTCCTTAATCTATTAAATAGTAATTTTTCTATAATTAATATACTACTATTAGCTTATATAATTAGGAGAGAATATTATAGCCGCTTTATTTATAGTAGGAAAACACCTTTCCTTATAATCCTAGTATCGTTTGTTATAGCCTATTCGTCTTATAAGGAACGTAGCCTTTACTTTATCTTCTTATTAAGAAGGTCTCCCTTTAAGATTTATAATAAATTGCTCCTAGTCTAGCTATTAGGGCTATTTAAGCTCCTTTATACCGTCTAAGTTAGTATATTCCTAAATCTTATAAGTCTAGGCCTACGATTTAATCCCCTTAATCTATAAGGTTTAATTAAGGCTTTCCCTTAGTCTTATAATATAATTATCCCCTCTTACTTCCTTTAATATTATCTTAGGAAAATAAGGGTTCTAGCTTAATAAGTAATATCCTTCTTTAAGGGATATATAATTTATATATTTCTAAGGGTACCCCTTTAAGTAGCTAGGTTCCTTACCCTAATACTACGTTTTAAGCGTTATAATAGCGTTAATAGCTCGTAAATAGCTTTAAAGGTAATGTTAGCCGGTAAAAGATAATCTAGCTATATAGACCGGGCTTATAACTCTTAAGTAGGGGCTTAAGAGTATAGTAAAAGAAATAGGGGCATAGAAAGGTAAATTTAGTAATATATATCTTAGCCTATCTATTAGGATAAGAGAGGGGCTTATATAGGTATAGTAACTATATATAGCTAGCTAAAAGAGGGCATTAAGATATTCTTATACCTAAGTTAGGCCTATATTATATCCTTAGGCTAAGGGAGTTATATTAGTTAGGCAGGCTCCCTTATATATAACTATTAGGCCTACTAGGTATAACTATAGCCTCTTATACCTACTTTCCTTAATAAATATATTAATATCTACTCTCTTAAGATTCGCCCTTAATTACCCTTCGTATAATATAAGCTACTATAAGAAGGAATTCTTAGGTAGTAACGTAACTACTATAAACCTTTAAATAAATAGATAAATCCCCCTCTAATATTATATTAACTTAAACCTTAAACTTTCGTTCCTTAAGGCTTTTTACGTGAGCTATGACCGGCGAGCCTTCTCCTATCCTTTGATTAGTCGCCGACTCTTTCCGCCCCCCCCCCCTTCCTGATTGGTCGCTGCCGCCTTGTCTTCCCCCCCCCCCGGCACCGACACCCTCCTCCGTCTCCCACGTCGCCCTGAGAACTACCCTTGACTCTTCAGCGTCGCCATCCAACCAGCGCAACGCCTCCGCCATAGTCCTCTCGCTGAGCACCTCGAGCCTGGTCTATGCGGCGGTCATCTCTTCGGGGACTCGGTTGCCCGTTCGATCTCGAGCTGTCAAGCCTGCAAGGGGCAGATTAGTAGTCAAGTCGGTGACGATTGGCGAACACCGGCTGCTGTATGTTTTATTTTTTCCTCTTTTCATTCTTTGTTTTTATTCTTTATTATAAGCGGTAGATGGAGCACATCGGTCATCGTGGCATTGAATTATTACTTGCCATACCTGGGGGAAAGGAATTCAATGTTTCGGTTGATGTTACCAGCCTTATGCGTTACCGCCGGACGGTAACGCATTTGGCTCGAGGGGCCCTGACATGTCTCGGCCGGCGCCGGGCTACATCCGCCACGCCTCAAAGGCAATATGGTGCACCGCCGATACAAGCCTAAGAGGGACTTGGTGAGGCTGGCATTGACCCTTGGAGGAGAGCTTACTGTTGTCTGCACCGCGACCTGTTCGAAACGGCCAAGATTGGAAGGCCCGTGGATACGACAGTTATCTTCTACTTTTTGCTGCCGAAACGGGGAATCCGCCATGTTGCCCAATCTCTTGAAGCATTCGACTCTGCGCAGGTTCTTCTCAACGTCACTGCCCAAGACGGGAACCGGCTACGATGCGACCATTGCGAATCTACGTATCGGCGTAGACACCCGTGTCATCTACCAAGGTGCGTCTAGCCGGCCCGCACGGTTGCCGACGAGGATCGAGCCGCGGACACGACTGACTCCTTGGAAGGCTTCACAGGCCAAGCGGTACGTTGGCAGGCTGGTGCCGCTCCTCCCCCGCACGAGTGTGGCATGGGGAGTCAAGACTCACGAGGCAAAGGCCACTTCCAACGCCAAAGCCACGCTGGAATGTGGAACGCAGGTCGTAGGCGGCGTATCCCCAGGCAAGGGCGGCAAGAAGCACCTTGGCCTGCCCGTCTTTGACACGGTCCGGGAGGTATGAAACTGAGACATTCCGCACCCCAGAGGAAGCCTATGGGCGGCTCGCTCGCTCACCCCCATTTCACATTGCAGGCCATGCAACAAGTCCGCCCACACGTCAGCGCCGTCTTCGTCCCGGCCCAGCATGCCGCCAAGGCCATCATAGAGTCCATCGAGGCCGAGGTGCCTCTGTTAGTCTCCGTGGCAGAGCACATTCCCGTTCACGACCTGATGCGCGTCCAAGAGGTGCTGCGGATGCAGAGCAAGAGCCGTCTCGTCGGACCCAACAGCCCCGGCATCATCGCGCCGGGGCGATGTCGCGTCGGCATAATGCCTTTTCGTCAGTATCAGAGGGGCTGCCTCGCGATCGTGTCCAAGTCCGGCACCCTGAGCTACGAGTCCGTCGGAGCCACGACTGCCGCGGGTCTAGGACAGAGTCTTGTCATTGCTGTCGGTGGAGACTCCATGCCCGGTATGAGGATGCCTCGGCACTGAAACACCTCCGGGGCTCACGGAATTCTGACACTGCGTCCGCGATATACAGGTACCACGCTGGTGGACGCCCTCAGGGTTTTCTTCGACGACACCGAGACCAAGGGCATCATTTTGATTGGAGAAATCGGTGGGGAGGCGGAACTCCGGGCAGCAGAACTGATCAGCGAATACCGTCGGGCCACGCCGAATCCCAAGCCCATCATCGCCATGGTTGCGGGACAGACGGCGCCGCGAGACAAGACAATGGGACACGCCGGAGCCATCCTATCGCCGATGGACGTCACGGCCGCCGAGAAGGCAGAGGCGCTGCGACGGGCCGGAGCCGTCGTTGTGCCTCACCCGGGCGTCATGGGGATCAAGATGCAAGAGCTGCTTGCCTTGTGACTCGTTCATGACAACTCATCAAGGGCCGCCAGAGGGCCGATGAGCCACCATTCTTGTCCTCGTCCTAAGCTTCAAAGCTTATGCCGTGTTGGCAGACTGTCGTACCGGGCCACAAAACGTCGCATTATATAAATCGAGCAATGATTGGTGCAGCTGCTTCATTGCCGTGAATCGGCATCTTGGTCGTTAACCGGCTTCACGTACGAAGTTTCCCGTTCATGTTTTTTTTCAGCTTCTTAAATTGTCCTCAGAAATCAACCATGACTACGGAATGTTCCGGCAGAGTGACAAGAAGGCATCAAGATGTTCCAAGCCCCCGCCCAGAAGGCGCATTGGCGAGACTACTCTAAACGGCAAACTGTCCAGCTACAAAACTTTCTAATTTCGGAAAGCCCAAAAGAGGCATGTAATCCAGCTCCATAACACCAATTCTCCAACTAGCAACTCCGACTGTAACGACACAACCTTTGGTAAAAGCCTGGGACATGTCGCATGCTCACGAGTACCGTGTCGTTCTTGAAACTGTGGCCACATGGAAGCTGCCGCGTCAGCACTAGAGCCGCTCAATTCATCAAGTCGCCTTCGTCAGGTTCTCCCCCTGCCTCGTCACAGCGGCTTTTCGGTCCACGCTCCCGCCGGGCTGCCTGCCAGTTTACGCAGGGAGTGCTAAGTAGGTTGATAACGACTTCCATCGCCTTTTTGTTGAGACGATTACTTATTGGTTACAAAATGTCATTGAACATCAACAAGACAGCTCGGAATATTCGCCCTTCTGCCCGTTCAATGAGTAATTGCCCTCGAAAGCCGCATGCTGCCGATCACCAGAAGCCCGCCCGCCCCAGCTGTTACGTTTCAAGTTCACTTAGTGCTTGACTCGTACGAATTGATCCACCAATGAATAGTACAAGCCGTCACGCCATCCTCGCTTGTATTCTGACTCCCTTGTGGTGCTTGATCCGAAAAGGGCATCTCCGCCGCACGGTACTCTGTCCACGCGATGGCGATATAGCACGGCCATCGTCGACGGCATCTCTAGCGGTCCCAGACCTGCGCACTTCGCAGAGAGATTGAAAGTATAAATATCCTCCCTCCAAGCGAGACATCACCAGACATTATCCATCATCTCGTTTTGCCTTCTTGCTGCCTCGTAGCCCTCAGACCAAGGAACGGCTGGATTCTGCCGAAATTATGATTGCAACGTCGACCACCACGATTGAGCTCGAGGAGATTGGGCTGCCGGCTCAGCCAGCTCCCGCCGAGCATCCGGACTCACGGGTTGGCCGCGAATGGGGAATAGACAAGAGGTCAGAACCAAATCGCCTGGGCGAATCCGAACACCGGGACCCGAGCCCTACGCCGGCCGCCCGGGCCCCTGAGAAGTGGAACGAGCCGCGCCGGAACTTGTATCGACTCGGGGCGGCGTTTTGGTGCTTCTTTGTCATGGGAGCGAATGATGCAGTCTATGGCGTGAGTGATCGTACACTGTTTCCAGTCACTGTCCAAAGTCCCGACACATCATTACCTGTATGAACAGCACTGACACCAGTCGTCGCTCCCTCTTGTTCAACTACAGGCATTGATTCCGTATGTAAGTATTATCTCGTGTGGTCCAGGTCTTGATCGTCAAGATATTGAAGCGGCTGCTGATTATATGACCGCCCGTGAAGCTCGAGTCTTACTACAATCTCACGTACCTTGTCGTCTCACTCGTCTTTCTATCCCCGTTTGTCGGCTACGTCTCCTCCGCGATACTAAACAACCATCTTCACCACAAGCTAGGCCAGCGCGGCATAGGAATTTTGTGCGGATCGTGCCACCTTGCGGCCTATGTCATCATAGCCGCCCATCCGCCGTATGTGGCTCTCGTGTTTGCCTTTACCCTCGCCGGCTTTGGTAACGGCGTGGCCGATGCAGCCTGGAACGCATGGGTCGGCAATCTGGCCAATTCGAGCGAGCTTCTCGGCTTCTTGCACGCCTTGTACGGCGCCGGCGGTGTCGTCAGCCCCCTTATCGCGACAACGTTGGTGACCAGGGCCAACCTGGAATGGTACTCGGTGTACTACATCATGGTGCGTGGAGCTTGACTGCTAGGGAGATCAAATCACCAGATGTTCAATGTTCGGAGGCTAATCTGCATCATGTACAGATTGGTTTCGCTGCAGTTGAGCTCATAAGCTTGGCCCTGGCCTTCTGGGACTCCAACGGGGCCACCTATCGCCGTGAATCTAGTGAAAGCTGGGAGGGAAGCGAGAGCGGCCTTTGCAATACTCTCTTCCGCATGCCAGCTGCCCGTGTCACTTGGGTCGCCGCACTGTTCCTACTTTGCTATGTCGGCGTCGAAGTCGCCCTTGGGGGATGGATCGTTACCTTTATGCTCCGAGAGCGGCATGCGGGGGCCTTTGCGAGCGGCATGTCGGCAGTCGGTTTCTGGCTTGGCATTACTGTCGGGCGGGCTGTCCTCGGGTTTGTCACGCCGCGTTTAGGGGTGAAGATGTCGACAGCAGTAAGTCAATCTCGTCGTTCAACAGCTCTCTCTGACATGGCGCTGCACTAGAGCTACATGGGAGCGGTTATGGCACTCGAGCTCATCTTCTGGCTGGTGCCGCAATTCTACGTCTCGGCCGTCGCCGTCTCGCTCCAAGGCTTCTTCCTCGGGCCAATGTTCCCCAACGCCGTTCTGGTAGCCAGCAAACTCCTCCCCAAGCGCCAACATGTCGTTGTCATTGGCTTTGCCGCTGCTTTTGGGGGGTGCGGCGCCGCTCTGCTTCCCTTCTTGACTGGTCTTCTAGCACAATCATCCGGTGTTCGAGTCCTTCAACCCATCGTCTTAGCGTTGATAGGCGCGATGCTCGTCATTTGGCTTTGCTTCCCGCGAGTCAATAAGAAAAGGGAATAGTGAGGAGGGTGTGTATATGTATTCTATAGCGATCTCTCATATATGACAGCCAACGCCACCATCGTTTCAAAGTCACCCGCCTTTCTTGAGTTAGCACGAATGAGCTGGCATGAGATTTTAAGTACATGCTATCGAGACATATAATAAGGAAACTGGACGTTGCTTCATAAAGCTGGGCTTTTTTGTTAGGTTGTCAGGTCTTAGGTTGATGGGGTTGTTCGGAATTGTACATGGGTGTTCTCGCTCAACGGTCGATACCAACCCCATCGTGAACCGCAACTCCACATTGGACGCTACGTATGAGATGCATAGTGAAATGCTTTTGGAATGGCAAGTAGTTTTTGCTCACTCTGATTCGTGTTGCTTGCTCAAGTCTAGACAACCCATCGTGTGATGCCGCTCTGCTCCGTCATGCGTCTCAGGCCTGTCCATTGGAGCATCATTCGGAAGATGGAGCCAAGTCGGGAACCCGTTCTACAGACTTGACAACCTTGGCCGGGGAACCAATGGCGACGGAAAAGTCGGGGATCGACCTGGTCACCACACTTCCCGCGCCGATGGTGCATCCCTTTCCGATCGTCACCCCGGGCATGATGGTCGTGTTGCCCCCGATCCAGCAGTCATCCCCAATGGTCACGTTGCCGGCATACTCAATGATGTCACGCCGTGATTGTACGTCAGTCTCGTGGGTTGCGGCGAAAATGGACACGAATGGGCCGAACATGACGCGGTGCCCAATCTTGACCATGCCGCAATCCAGTATCACCAAGCTTCGTCATGTAAGCGGCGTGTCAGTCGCTTCTGCTGGGCTGAGGGACATAAAGGGAAAAGCGGCCCTACAGCACGCCTGGCAGACATACTTGAAGTTGGAGTAAAAGGACTCCCCTATGGTGATGTTGCAGCCGTAGTCGATGTTCAAGGGAGGCTCGATGAAGGGTGCCTTGCCGACTTTGCCCAACATCTGCTTGAGCATCTTCTCGCGGTCGGCGGCGAGCGACTCAGCTGTGGCATCATCTGGGAAGTGCGAATTGTACTTGTGCATGAGCCTCCTTGCTCTGAATCGCCCATTGACGAGCTCGGGTGCCAGGCAGTCGTATCTGATGACAGACAACGTGAGTTGAGGATGGAATGGGAGAGGGAGGAGGGGTAAATATACTTACAGGACGCCCGAGACCATCTTCTCATAGTCGTCGCACCACGGCACGTTAGAAAGCGTCTTTGCAAAGGCTATCGTAGCCGGGTCTTTCTCTGCTTTGGCCATTCTGGGCACGTATTTTGCTGTATTCCGTATGGATGCTGCCGCAGTCGCGACTTTGAAGGGGGAGGAAGGTTTGCGTCTCGGCCGTGGCCAGCAAACGAACTTTCTGCCTGCTTTGGTTTCACCCCTGCCGGCTGGCTATCAATATCCACCGAAGAGGACACGTCCATTAATAGTGTTTCCCGGCATTGGGCAGCCCACTGTATTACTAACAAGAATTCCGGATACGAATCACGGAGAGCAGCTCGCCCAGGGCCAGTGGATGCGTCGCCAACTACAGATACTGGTCGGGATAACTTTGTGTGTTACATGCAGGGAAGCCAACTGGATTCCTCCCCTCGCCATTATCTCGCACCAGTGGCCAGCCAGCCGTCGCTCTCAGGCAGGTTTGACTGGGTCAGCTGTCGGAGCGAGACTGGTTTTGCAGTATTTCCGTCATCAATCGCACGACTTCGATTCACTTGGCGCAACTAGCGGCGCATCTGTTGTACAATATCCGTATGTACATGCTCCTCGCATATACCTTAACTACCGGCCTTCTTCTTCGAGCCAATGTTCACCATTACACGGACATCTATAGCGCCCATTTTCTTGTCTGACAGCGATCTTTGGTGGTCAGCAGGTCAAATGCCATCGATTGACCAACGCCATGACCGACAACAGATTCGGTTTATGAGGAAGATCGCAGGGGTCATTAAAGTATTTGATGCTCTGTGGCAGGGAAGCAAGGGATAAATCCTCACAAACAATCATGTCATGCCGACTCGGCAAGCTCGACGACCCGTTGCGCCGCGCGTCCAAAGTCGGATTCCACGTACAGCCCCAACTTTGCTTCCTCCAGCTATATCGGGGGATTGAGGTTAGCTTGGCCGGTTGCCAGCTCTGCGCCTTCAACGATGGACCTACAAGCTGGAGACCCTTCTCCGAGTTGGTGCCCTGCAGTCTAACGACCATTGGCACGCGAATGTCCAGCTCATCGGCAGCGCCAATGATGGACTCTGCAATCATGTCGCAGCGAGTCAGGCCTGTGGCTGATCAGCAGAGGTCCAGGCACGGTCAGCTGCCAAGATGCCACGGTTTTTCTACCTCCATAGATGTTGACCAGTATCGCCCTGACTCTCTTGTCGCGCGTGATAATTCCAAATGCTTGTTGCATCGTCTCTTTGGTGGCCTTCCCGCCTGCATCTAGGAAGTTTGCGCTCGCGCCCCCCTGGAAGCCAATGGCGTCGTTGGTCGCCATTGCCAACCCTGCTCCGTTGACCACGTTGGCAATGTTGCCGTCCATCTTGACGTACACCAGGCCGTGCTTCTCTGCTTCGAGCTCTTCGGCGACATCTTGGCTTGCGTCTCGAAGAGCAAAGAGGTCTGCTTGGCGCTTCGCCGCTGCATTGTCGAAGACGAACCTGGATCCGATGCTCGTCAAGGTTCCGTCCGCTGAGCACGCCAGCGGGTTGATCTCGAGCATCGTCGCGTCTCGTTTCGAGAAAATGTCAAATATTTGCTGGAGTACATGCTCAAGGTTCTTCGTTTCGCGCGGGCTTGTTCCGAGCCGCGCAGATATCTCAGAAACGAGGTCCGATGTGATGCCTTTCGAGAGACCAAAGTTGAAGGTGAAGATACTTTCCGGGGAAAGCCGGGCTATCGCATCAATGTCTCTGCCCCCCTTTTTCGAGATGACAATGGCTGGACTATAGTTTTCTCGGTCAATCATCATTGCCAGATACCAGTTCCATTCCGACTCGACAGACTCCGTGATGTAGAGCTCATTCACCCTGATGCCTTGTGGAGATGAGTACCGTCTGCGGAAAAGACTACCGAGCATCTCCGAAGCCATGGATTCGCCTTGCTTTGCCTTCTCGACTGCTTGAACTCCGCCTCGGAGGCCACTCTCAAATTCGCCGTCTTCGCGGCCGCGTCCAAGAACCTGCGCCTTGATGACACATTTTGGTCCTTCCAGTGAGTTAGTTCAATCCAATCGCCTGCTGTGGTCAGCTTATTCACCTAGCTTATCAATTGCCTCTCGGACTTCGGTCACGCTTCGGGCAAGCTGACCGCGGGGAACTGGCACTCCTAGCTGCACACCCAACCCCGTTAGAGGTCATCATGAGTGAACAAGGGCAGCTGGGGCAGTCTGGGTGCGCTTTACTTGGCTCAGCAACTTCTGAGACTCGTGTTCGTGCAGACTGAGTGGTCGTGTCTGCACTCTAGCCGCGTACTGCAGCACAGGAGGTTAGCTAAGAGTCACGGATCGCTGCAGTGGCTGGAAAGTGAGGTCTGCTTGGTACCTTTGGCGTCATTCGCAAGAGCCTCAGGGACATCTGACAGAGAGCCATCGAACCAGCCTATGGGCTTGAAGTCTATATGGTGGTATTGATGGCACGATAGACGATTTCACGGGCTCGCATGTTTGGCTCCTCGGGTATTTGTCGAGCGTCGTCTCAGGCAGTGTATCTTAGAAGAACTTCTCCAGAACACAGGCATCGTCGACTCCACGTGCTTTGCAATTATCGGGTTCAACTTCCAAGAGCTCACGAACTACGAAATCTTTTGTGAGCCGGCCACCTAAAATAGAATGGAAGCGCTGACTGCACTACCAAAACCAGACGCACCTCGGCTATTGACGGGGAGGAATGCGGAGGATGCGGAGTATCCGGGGAGGCTGGGCGGCGCTAATCACAAGCAAGCAAGTGATTCTGTTGGGCAACAACCGTCAATTAGGTAAGGGTTGCCTGTGCAAACAGGGCCCAAGGAGCCACACACACACATCCACACAAGGATAACCCATCTCTACACATGAGGCCAAGGGAGGTTGCAAATTGGTATCAGGAGCCAAGGACATCAAGGAAATCAGGGTAAGGCTATGTTAGCAGCTATATCAGGGTCTAGAAGAGGTATCTGTACGTATAATACCCCTTTGGGTCTCACGTAGCTAGAAAGGGGCATGCACATTTGTCACATCAATTCGTTGCCCCTGATCACTTCCACATGCGCTCTCAAACACCCGTTTGAGAGATCCATATTCGGCAATATGGCACTTATCGTGGTGATGAGTCCACACGTGCAGCGCGTGTACAGAAAGGAATGACGGGAATGATTAAAGAAGACACATGTTGCTTGAGCTTGACAGCGCCATTACAGAGTTTCATTCTCATTCTAGAGAACTGTGCGCATTATTACGCGTATCTGGAGCCGAAGTGCCTCATTGTATTCAATCTCGTCATGCGAACACCTCAGACTTCATGCACGCTATTCCATTCTTCTCAGCAACAATCTCATAGGAATGCCCTCTGGCCTCACCAACTTTGCATCGTCCAGTGCGGATATGATAAGTCTCGCCTGCATAGACAGGTGACAGAGCCCGATAGTTGATGTTTGTTGGCTCACTTTCGTTGCCGTGAACATCACGCCAGTAGTCGAGAATGCAGATGAAGTTCAACGGTCCGTGTACGACGAGTTGGGTGTCCCTCGACGTCTCAGCACCAATATTCATTGTAATGTATTTTGTGTCCATTGAACGTAAGTGCTGAGAAGCGGAAAAGGCAAACGTAGGACTAATGTCGGACAACAGAGTTTGGTTCATCCGAAAACGAATGAGCACCGGAGTGCTGCCTTTCCATCGACGCATGCACCGCGCCAGAGCATTTAGCCCCCGGCCCACATGCGTCTTGTAAAAAGCTCGGGTACATTGAAGGTGAGGTTAATGCCATCCGGGCCGAGTTGCATCTCGACTGCCTCGGGGGTGAAGTATACAAGGTGATATCCAGGCGGGATGGGAGTGCCTGCGGGCGGCGGATCATTGGACACGTCGATTTTCCCCAGACGCGATCTCCCGAGTGCCAGAGCAAGATTTTGAAGTTAATTGGCGTCGAGAATTTGGCGACGGACATTGACGGAGCCTGCAAAGTTGTCCAAAAGACGCAAGGCCGCATCGTGGGCTGTCGTGTTTGGAAGCCACGTTCTAGACAGACAGAAGGTGCGCAGCTGCTCCGGCCACAGAGACGACGCAAAGCGAAGCGTCCGGCGCATGCTTGCGCTTTGAGCCATGTTTATGTCTAGCACAGACCTGATCTTGTACGTTGCATACGCACAGGTCGAACTGAACTGAGGATTAGTACAGTTGTTCATATGCCGTCCGTTCACGTAGTTGACCAGTTGAACTAGAGAGCCAGCTAAGCCCTATAGACAGAGTGATGGGGGAGATAAATTAGCAAGCATAACATAAGCAGTTGTCATTCTAACCTCGGTCACATTCCGAGGCCGGATGTCTTTCCCAGCTATGGATGCGTTCGTAATTTTTTTCCCTGGAAAACACGAGAGGGCCTGCCACTGTCGCAATCCTGTCTAGAGGGGCATGCACCCAAAGTCTCCAAAGTTGCTCCCTGGTTCAAGCCGTTCTCGCCAGAGGCACGCGCAAGCGCTCAGCATAGTAAACCTTGCCGCACCAAGCCGAGGGAGAGCACATGGTTGAGGACCGCCAAGCCATATTGCAGGGAAATCCAGGCGGCGGTAATGGGGACGAAATGCGGTCTTTATGAGTTCTTTATGCGGCCTTTTCAATACAAAGAGCGACTACAACTATACGACTTTTGTATCTTGATCAATGAGGAGCAACAGACCTCTCGGCACCAAATGCCAGACCGTATACTTACATCTCAGGGCATCCTCACAGCCCCTCCCTATCTTTAACGCCGGGTATGGTTTCTGGCCCTCCCTCTCTAATGTCGTGTGCGATTTCCAGCCCTCCCTAGATTTAGCTAGTATTATATGAGGAAAAAATAATTATAGTAGGGAATTAAAGGAGTATTACTCTGGTTAAATTATAATATTTTAAGTGGTTTATGGCGGTGGGCCGTAAGTAATAAGCCGATAAATCTTAAGGTCTGGGCATGATCCTAACGCTAAGGGCCGGCGCCGGCGCCCTCCTCTTAAGTCGACGATATAGCAGCACGAGGCATCTTTTAACTGTTATAATAGCTTTATAAACGCGGCAGCCGCACGATCATGCGAGAATTAAAAGGCGGTAAGGAAAGCAGCTAATAGGGATATAAGACAGTTTGTGGATCAGTGTAACGCAGCAGGAGGGGATGCCACTACGCCAATAATTGCCTATACGAGCAAAAAGTCCGCCAATGACACCGACTACGGTAGTATCATTGCCGGCTGCGGTGTGGCGCTGGGGTATGAAGCCGATGCCGAGAAGACGGCAGCGCATTTCGGACACTTGCCCGACGGGCAGCGCTATTACCGCACCGGGGATCAGGGCGTAATGCACCGAGCAGGCTACGTCGAGATCCTCGGCCGCCTGGACAACCAAGTGAAGATGAATGGTTTCCGCGTCGAACTGGCGAAATCGACAGCGTGCTGCAGGCTCACTCGGCAGTGCAAGCATCGCTTTCACGGGTTGTCGCCCACGGCGGCCAGAAATCCCTAGCGTCGTACGTAGTGCCGCTGGTGTTTGATCGCCTGGCATTTAAGCTGGAAAAGCGCGGGATAAGAAGGGGAATAGACGCTTCGGCAACGGTCAAGGACTTGAAGCCGCTCACGCCACAGACGATATTGTCCGACGCTGCCCGACGGGCACTGGCCCGCAAGAGCTATCGCCGCTATTATCAGGCTGACGACCAACTGACGCTGGAAACGCTGCAACCGTTGCTTCGCATTACGGTGCAGCCCGCGAGGAATAAGCGCCGGCTGCACCTGCCTCCGGAAAGGCTGTGGCCGGAGCTTGCCGTGCTGCTGACGCCCCTGCGCGCCTTCAAACATCAAATCGAAGGCCTAAACAAGCACATCTACCCTTCTGCAGGCGGGCTTTATCCCGTGAGAATATACGTGACGCTCTCCCGCGCCTGGGGCGAGTGTCGGGGCCATTGCTATTACCACCCTGAAAACCACGCACTGATGCAGCTTGCCGACGATCCCCAACTGCTGCCGGAAACAGGAGTCTATCTGCACCTGAATGCGTTTCTGCCGGCCATTGAGCCCGAGTACCATGAAGATGCGCCGGCGTACAGCATGCTGGAAGCAGGGTGTTTTTTTTTTATATCATTACTCGCATGCAGCCTCTAGGGCCATGGCGAGGCTAATAGGGGCCTAGTCCTAGCTAGCTATAGAGCCCGAGGGCTTACAACCAATTAGGGAAAGGGTACAGAGGCAGCCTTCAAAAGTTATCGGCCACGCTAAATTAGACCCTATAAGGAAAAAGGAAGTAGCAACCAAATTACTATAGCACCGTTCCCAGCTTATACCTAATCCAGCCTGCCCTCGCGATATTCGTTGCCGCCCTTAAGTTCAATTATTTTCTGCATATAACGAGGGATTCGTTCGATCTAAGCCTATATCTTTTCTTACGGTAGCTCCTTCCAAGCAAGATCCTTAGCTCGGCTCTTTAGCGCGCCCTTCTTTATAGTCGTTCTTTTTATCTATAGCCAAGCTAGCTTAATAGCGTCAAGGTTAGGCGAGTTGCCGCACTAATAAAGCCGTTGAATATCGTGAGAATTATAGAATCGTTGCTAAATATAGTAGTTATAGGCAGGAGCCTTATCTTCTTATATAATCGTCCTAGAAAGCTTAGCCTCGTACTCTTTAGTAAAGGGAAAGAGCTTAGGAAGAAGAATCTTCTTCTAGTAGCGGAACTAGTCGATTCCGCCGTGCTTAGAGCCTCGTATAAGCTTGCCTAACTTCTAGTTAAATTTCTATCGAGGTTTAGGTCTAGGAAGTTAACGGAGATATAGTCTTCGTAAGCTATTATTAAGTTCCTACTCCTCTTTTAGTAGGGGTTTAAGTTCTTTATTTATTATTATAATAGCTTTATCTGCTGCCTTCTTCTTAGTAGTAGTCTTTAGTGCCTAGCAGTAGCTTAGGCCCTTCTTATTATATAAAAAGCAGCCCTAGAATATAAATTCTAAGGCGCCTTTCTATCTCTCGTAGATATAGCTTTAAGTAAAGCGCTTATTAGCTTTCCTCTATATACGATAGCCTCCTTGTCGATATAGTAAGATAATAAAAGTCTCGTCTAACTAAATCACCTTCTTTTAGTCCTCGAGGGTCTAATCTTAGTATATAAGATACTAGGCTAGTCGTTCTTTTTATATCTTCTTCGTTAAGCCTAGCTTCCTCGTAGGCTTCGTCTTCTAGAAGCCTACTAAGCGGAGGACTCGCTATATAGTCATTGCTAAGACCGGGTGCCCTACTAAGCTTAGCTCGCTAGCAATATTAGCGTAGTTATTTTCCCTTCTATATCTATCGCGGCGAACCTTCGTAAGAACCTTATCTTAGATTATAGGCTGCTTAGAGGGACGGCTAGAACGAGGGGCATCTTAGAGCTACTCGTCTTAAAGGGTTAAGGGCAGTGTATCTAGCTTAAAGCCGCGTTAAAGAGCTCGTATATAGATATATTTAACTGTTCTAAGAGGCACGCTAGTTAAGGCAGTAACTTTAGCAGCCGATTTCCCGCCGCCTTAAAGCACTATAATAAGGGCTCGAGTCGCGATATCTATTTTTCGCCTTATTATTATTAGGAATGTTAAGAAAGGCGGAGGGGCGGCTGCCGTATAAAATCGCGTGCGGGGCACTCTATTTACTTTACTACTTCCTTTTTCCTTATAGGGTCTAATTTAGCGTGGCCGATAACTTTTAAAGGCTTCCTCTATAGCTGTAAAGGTAAAGATAAAGGAAAGGTTAGTCTGGTTCCTCCCGCGCGGTGATTTTCCCCCCTAAGGGCCCTAGGGCCCCTAGGTTACTCCTTTTCGAGCTACTTAGCTGTCCCTATCTCTGTTTTAGCTAAGAAGGTTAGAAGGGCTTCCCTTCCTTCCTTAGAGCTATAGAGAATAGGTAGGCTAAGGGCCCCCTCCTATCTCTTAGAGGTCTAGTAAAGGACCTCTCTTTCCCTCCTATAGTTCGGGCACCTTAGGATAAGGTGCCTAGCTATATACCTTCCTTAGCCGTAGCGGTAGTCGTCTCGGTCTACCTTATTAGTCCTTTTTAAGAAGGAAAGTAGGAAGCCGGCCTTAAAGAGGAGCTAGTAGAAGGCCGAGAGGGTCGGCCTAGGCCTCCTTATAAGGTCCTTTTCCTAGCTAAGGGCTAAGCGGGGGGTCTTTTAAATAAACGTATAGTATTTACCTAGGCCCTTAGCCCTAGGGCCTTTAGCTGCCTTAGTAGCCTAGAGTCCCTTTTAATAGTCCTTAGTAGCTTACTAGACCTTTCTTTATAAGTAGCTAATAGAGACTAAGGGGGTCCCTTAGGTAGGGGCCCCTAAGCCTTTTTTAGCTAGCTAGTTAGTAAGCTCGTTACTAAAGATCCCTAGGTAGCTAGGGCACTAATATAGCTATACGTTATAAAAGGCTTCTAAGCTAGATAGGAGCCTTTTAATATATATAGCTAGGTCTAAGAAACCTATAACCTTCCTTATAGCGGCTTAGCTATCTATAAAGATATAAGTATCTATAAGGGGGTTAAGGGGGCTAAGCCTTAGGGGCTAAGGCCTCTTAGCTAGGTCTTTTAGGACCCTTAGTATCGCGAATAGCTTTACGTTAGCTATTTCGATTAAGGACCCTAGGTTCTTATAGTATACTTTAATTAGCCTATTTTCTAGGCTTATTTCGTAAAAGGAGTAAGCGTTAGTCTTTATAGGGGATCCCTTAAGGCACCCCTTAGAGCTATTAGTATAGAAGGCTAAGGGCCGTAACCTAAAGTCTTTTAGGCTAGCTAGGCTAGCTAAGAAGCGTTAGTGCTACTTCTTAGCTAAGGGCTTAGGGGCCTCTATTATTATAATAAAGGCCTTAGGCTTTAAGGCCTATAAGGGCTCCTAGCTAGCTTTCCTTCTTTCTAAGTTATAATTAGGTCCTATAAAAGCTACTAGGCCTTTAAGGAAGCGGAAGAGCTATATATATAGCCTAATATAGCTTAAGGCCCTTAGGTTAGAGCCTAAGTTAGCGAGGTCGTCTTATATAGCTAGGTTATAAGCCTGCCTTATAGGGCGACTAAGTAAGAAGTATAGGGTCTAGAAGGCGTAAGAGAGGTATGCCCTTTTAAATTATACCTCTAGTAGCGGTAGGGCTGCTTTAGCTTCTAAAGCCTTAATAGGGGATCCTTTAAAGGCTCCTAAGACCTTTAAAAGAGCTTAGTTTTAGAGCTTTTAGAAAGGCTTTATTAGGCTCTTAAGGGTCTTAGGCCCCTTATACTAAAGCTAGGCCCCGTAGTTTACTATAGAGGTTATATAGGCCTAGTAGAGCTATCTAGAGGCTTTAAATAATAAGCCTTTTTATATAGAGGTTAAGCGGGATAGTCCTTTAAAGGCAGCTTATATAGAGGCTACCTTCTTCTTAATAAATTATTTAAATAGGAGCCTAGAATAAAAGAAGACCCCTAGCTACTATACTAAGGGCTTTGCCTCGAAAAATAAGCCTCCTACTATTATACCCTCTAAAATAAGCTACTATTACCTACTAAAGTAGATAAGTTCTATCTTTAAGGGGTCGAAGTAAACCCCTTAGTCTTTAGCTTATTTAAATAGGTTAGTAGCTATTGCTTCTAGCTACCGAACGTTCTTCTTAGCCGAGGTCGACGTTATAGAGATACTAAAGTTATCTATATAAAATAGCTAGTATCCCTTAGCCGCTAGTATCCCCCTTATATATAAGAGGAATAAAATAGGGCTAATAGGAGACCCTTAGGGCACCCCTATTACTAGGTCTATAAGGGGCTAGACTTACCCCTTAAAGGCTAGCTAGATCTTCCTTTCGGTAAGGAAGTAGTCTACCTAGCTTATAAGGGCCTTAGGGAGGTTTAAGTCCCTTAGGACCCTTATAAGCTATTCCTTCGATACGAAATCGAAGGCGTAAGCAGGGTATATACTAGCGCTACTAGTAGAGCATAGCCGTCTAAGCCCTATAGCGCCGCTGCCCGTTGCCTACTACTATAAAGATAAACTCTGCTTAGTAAGCTATTATTAGTCGGAAGAAGGAGAAGAAGGGGGAATTAATATAGCCTTATAGCCGCCTAATTATATACTACTACTACTTAAAACGGCAGCCGGCTAGGGTAGCTACTATTTCTAGGAACGGCAGTTCTAGTACTACGGTAATATTCTACTTAACTTTAACTTTAGCTAGGGCGAGTATAATACCGCTATTATTAGTTAGCCGTTAGTACTACTACTACTACCGGCGGAAATACTAGTACTAGAGCACGGGCGTCTTATATAGTGCGTTAGTAAGAATCTACTAACAGCGTTATTAGGTAGTTATCTACTAGGTTAGGTCGAACTAGGGGATTAATTATATGCCTATATATAGGGTCGCCGCTTTTCTAGAGCGCTTACTATTAGTAAGTTAATAACCGACGCTTTAGCTAACGGCGAAGTAGATAATATTAATATTATAATAATACTATTTAATAAGCTATAGGCCTATCTATAGCGGTAACTTCCTACCTATATAGTACCTAATAATATTATATATATACTAACTTTACTATTAATAGCTAATAGTAAAGTAGATATAAAAGCGTTGCTATTACCGCTATTACCGTTAAAAGCTAACGACGAAACTTATCTACTAGGAGATTAGTATAAGGAATATCTATAGGTATTATAGACCGAGGTACTAGACTCTATACCTTAAAATAACGTATATACCGATTTTTTCGCTTATAATAGCGGTAATTCGCTTAATATAATTCTACTTACTATAAATATTAACTAACGTTTTATATATAAAGTAGTAACCGCTTTTATTTATAAATATTATACTATCGTATAGTAAGTAAAAGTAATCGTTAAGTATATACTCTAACTAGCCCTTAATTATATCGAGCTAAATAGGGCGAAACTTAAAATACTACTTAATACTCTTTATTTTTCCTTAATACCTTTATCTACTTCTCTTATAGCTTTTAATCGTCGAATATTAATATAAGGTTAGCTTATTCTTAAGGTATATTTTAGCTTAAGTTTAGGTTAAGTTTTAGTTAGTTATCGCCCTTATTCGCTTCTTCCTTAAGTTATTTAATAGGCCCCTTTACTCCGCCGATATATATTACTAAAGTATTACTATTTATATAATAATATATAACTATTTATATACTCGACCTATTTTTAAGATATATA